TGGAAACTCAGAGTAAATACCATCCACCTATGGTTCATAGACACCTCAGGCAGAAAGAAAACCCCAAAGGTCAAATGGACCACCCCCTGCCTTCAAATAGGTTTTAATTAAACCATGCTTAACAAATTAACTTGTCTGTTAGTGAATGAAGGAGATTCTTCACCTTCCACCAACCTCTGGTCATTACACAGAGAGCAATTTCCCTCAGCTGCTATGTTTTACTTCTTTCCAGGTACCAGAGAAGACCTTCAGGGTTGCTGGCCAAAAGAGAAACAGTTACTATTTACATTCACTTTGAGCCAGAAGGGCCCAGAAAAAAACCATTTGATTTTGTTTGTTTGGTTTTTTGTTAAAGGGGGTGTCCTTTGACTCACTTCTTAAAGAGGCCTATTCACTGAATGGGCGTTGCCTCACTCAAACTGAGAACTTGAAAAGACCTTAGCTTAAAAGGGCCAAAATGTCCCACTGCATCTGGGCCATCTCCCTGGGACCTAGATGGCTCTGGAAGAGAAGGTGAGGCTGGTGACCTTGCACAGCACTCCCTTAGTCAAATCAAAGTCGGTTGTAAGTCATGTCATCATCTCCCTGATGTCATGGTCCTCTTTGAGAACGAAGGACAAATCATACATAACCACAACCACAATCCAGGTACCAGGGTAGAAAGTCAGCCTTTCTGCAGGATTTTATACATAGATCTCCAGACACATATTTAGCATAATTAAATGGATGTGGTAGTTATGGTAAACAGAGTTGTTCAGCCACTCCTATTGGCCCCTCCTTCCACTGACTCATTGCTCAGATGGGTTTCTTGAGTACAAACCACTTTGCAAAGTAGTACCAAAGGAGTTGTAATTCTTCTGATCATTTTGTTAGTTCCAAGTCCCCAGCCAGAGACAGAGCTTCTGGTCAAATACCTCAGTGTATCTCTTCTCTGGGAATGAACCCCCTTCTCAGTCAACTCTTCAAAACTATCTTTCTAATAAGTATACCCAGACTAACAAAGGCAGATGGCTAACAGTGTTCATAAAGACAAAGTAAATATTTAAAACAAAGAAATCCCTCTGAGATTAACTCCAATTTATCCTGTATATGTCTTATTTATATATAGCTGTTGCATGTTGTCCCCATTTGATTGTGAGTTACTTGAAGGCAGGGACTATTTTTTCATTTTATTGTATTCTCAATGAATGACACACATTATGTGCTTAAAAAGTGCTTTTTTGACTTGACTTGAAGAAAGGTAAATAGACTTCCCCTGTACCCAGAGGAAAAGGCTTCAGGCTCCCATGAAAATGCTCAAGGGGAAAGAAGATACAAACTGTTGTCTTGGGGTCTGTAGTTGTGTGTGTTTGTTGGAGGGAAGAGGGTGGTCCAGCAACATAATTTCTATCCCAACACACTGCAGGCCCACCAGCCTAAGGAGCCTCACTTCTAAAGACCAGGCTACTTGCTTTATGGTGGCTGCCTCTCTATACTCTCATTCTCTCAGCTCCAAGTTACTTTTTACAAGTTCCCTTTCTCCAGCTCCCTGTGTCTTCTACCCATCCCCAATCTGAGCTGTCTCCTGGACTTATTGAAGTGACTTTTTAAAAGTTCACCCTGAAGTATGGTCTATCATTCTTCATAATTATTGCTAATTCATTCAAATGACTAATCTCATAAAGAGAGCTAATGGTCTGGCTGTATCTTTTAAAGTTAATGAAACAGGTCAGTGCTAGCCCCTTTGGCAGGGGGAGAGGGGGAGCCGGGGTGTGTGTGACTAGGTTTCATGCTTTCAAGGTCTACTCCCTTACACAGATAAGGGAGACTTTACAGAGCCTACTAGGGAATCAGGCCATAGACATTTTGTAATTAAAATTCCTCACCAAGCTCCCAACACCCTTTCCCCCTTCCTCCAACCTTCCTTTTTTCTCCCCAGAAAATCATAAAACCTCAGTCTTTCCTCACAACCCCATGACATTGGGACAGCCTATGAGGCTTTAAGTCAGTCAGTGGATAGGTTTGATGACATTCATCATAAAATGGACCTTTAGGCATAGAGTTTAAATTTGGGAATCCTAAAAAAAAAATCAGCTGAAAGCTATACTTCTTCTATGCAGTAGGTTTTTTAATTCCGTTTACCCTTTCCTTTCACAGATAGTGGTAGTTGTTTGATAGGGGGGTGGAGGGGGGGACAGGAAAGAATCATATCATCTTTGGTCATTAATATTCTCCAGAAAGCTCATAGAATTGGTATGGGACATCAGGGGTGGTGCCAAAAATTCAAAGTCTTTGGCCTATGAGCAAGATTGTGCAAAAGAATTCTCCCTCAAGCCTTTACTATATACCTTGGGTAAGGACACATTCTGAAATTGGCTGCTAGACAGGAGGTGCATCTCTGTCTACAGTCATCATAAGAGTCATCACTTAAAAGGTATAGGAAGGCTAATCACATTGGATGGGTCCCACTCACGCTATCCTCCCCCCACCCATTAACATTTTATGCAGGTAAAAGGAGATTTATATGAACACCAAGGATAGCCCTTGGAGGGGAAAAGGTGGAGATATCACTAAGGGGTAAAGTATGATCTGTAGGAAATATGTGTAAGAATCAGAATCAGAGATGGTTAGGTGTGAGAGGACAGTTTATATTGATTGTATGTGAACATATTCACTCCCCTACTCAATAAACTTCATTGGCTCCCTATTACCTCCAGGACTAAATATAATATTTTCTTGTTTGGCTTTTTTTAAAGCCCTTCACGATCTGGCTTCTTTCTACCTTTCTGGTCATCTTACCTGTCAATATACTCTAATAATCCAATGATCGTTCCCTTTTTACTGTCCCTCAAACACAAAACTCCACTTCCAGAGCCCATGCCTTTGAACTGATTGTTCCACATTGCTAGAATACTCTCCCTTTTCACCTCTGCCTCCTGGTTTCCCTGCCTTCCTTCAAGACTCAGCTCAAATCCTGTCTTCTGCAACTAGCCTTTCCCAGCCCTCATCCCCCTCATAATTTCCATTTATATATCTTCTATGTACATAGTTATTTGCATGTTATCTCCCCCAATAGAATGTGAGTTTCATGAGGGTATGGATTAGTTGTTTTTTGGTCTTTGCTTTTTTGTTGTTGTTTTTTGCTTTCTTTGTATCCCTAGCACTTAGCACAGTGCCTGGCACATAGTAACATGTTTGTTGCCCTTTGCCTTCCTGAGTTGTCTCTGAAGAGCAGGACTCAGGAGAACTCACTCTTAGGGACAATTCAGGGTTTTTTTTCAGATTCTAGAAATCCTATGGACACGACCTTTTGGGGTGGGAGGCAGGGAATTAGAGGTGGGGTGGAGACATAGCCACAAAACAAATACACAAGGATACAGATCATTCTCGTTTCATGAGAACCTCAGGCTGCTGGTCTACTTTTGGCCCATGGGACCTCAGGTTTGTGTATCCTCTCCTGCTGCGCTTTAGGGGATGCACAATGACTGGCCAGGCTAGGAGAGAACACCGCGATTACCGTGAACATCAATGACTGTGAGGGCTCCCAGGGTCAGCCGGGTGCCACTGCTTAATTTACCCCGCACCAGCTCAACGATCTCTGCAATCTGCATGTTATTTTTTTCCAGAAGTACCTGTGAGGGACACATATGGGAAGAGCGATTTACTCTTTCTCACATTTTCCTGGGTTCTTTGTCTGAGACTCAAGAAAAACATGCTAAGCACTCCTGGACTATGAGAAGAAGGGGGGCAGGAATTATTTGTGACTGACTTCACAGGAAGGCAAAAAGAACCATGGGGGGGCTGGGTAAGCAGGATATTTGGGGGCAACTTTTAAAAATTACAGAATGTTTGTATTTTTTAAAATTACAGAACCGCAATCAAGCATTAAAGTTGTAATGATATGAATAAAGCAAACGTCCATAGAATCTAAAGCTGGAAGGGACCTTACAGATCAGTCTTTTTTTTTTTTTTGGTGAGGCAGAGTTAAGTGTCACATAGCTAGTGATTATCATGTGTCTGAGGCCACATTTGAACTCAGGTCCTCCTGACTTCAGGGCTCGTGCTCTATCCACTGTGCCATCTAGCTACCCTGAGATCACCTAGTCTAACCCTTTTATTTTACAGCTAAGAAATCTGAGTCCTACAGAACTGGTGAAATGCCTTGCCCCGGTGTCATACAGGTACAGAGAAAAGCTAGGATTCAATCTGAGGTCTTCTGAGAGACAGTATGGTGTAGTAGATAGGATTTTGGACCTGGAGTCAGGAAGATCTGAATCAGGAAGACTTCTAGTCTTATCTTTTCACCTATAAAATGAGAGAGGCAGAATCTGATGACCTCTAAAGTTCTTTAAATTCTAAATCTTTGATCATATAATTCCAAATTTAAGGCTCTTTTTTACTATAGCACATTAATTAATTAATTAATGATTATTAGCATTAAGCAAAATGATTTTAGCCTGCAAACCATGTAAACAAGAAGACAGAGTCTGACATCATTGGTGTGCTAGTAAATGTTTAACAATTGGCTCTTGGAGAAAAATATTTACTCATGACATTTTTAAATTTAATCTGCATCATTAACATTTAGGGTTAAAAAAAAATCAAGCCCTAATTTGTAATACTTGATGATTTCTGAGATATAAATGCCCATACTGAAAATTTAACAATCAGTTTTTCTGAGCCAGTTTAAAGTGTTTCCATTATATCCCTGATCTGACATAAATATCAGAGAAGTAAAGTTTGGAGAGTTATAATCAAATTTCTCTTTCCATTTTATGGTATGTTTCATCTATGTCATATTAAAATAAATGTAATATGTTTTCTTTCTATAAAAATATGCTGTATTTGGAGTCCAAAGACCAGAATTTGAATCTCAGCTCTGCTACTTACTCCCTACGTAATACTTGCCAGGGCAAGTCATTTCCCCTCTCTAGGACTCAATTTCTTCATCTATCAAATTAGACTAGATAACCTCTACATCATCTTGGGTCTGTTTAATATCCCTTGCAGCTCTATATGGATGATCCTGTGCACATTTGTACTGTTCACTCTCTGGTGCTGTTCTTGGTTGCAGCTGGGAAGAAATGCTTCATTTCCGGATGTGCAGATCGAAGTTTCCCCCAGGGCTTAGTGCAGAAATTGGTATGTACTAAGCATTTAATAAATGCTTAAACAATGACAAAAGAAGAATAAATAACTGGGTTCAGAAAGACTATGTTTTCACATAAAGAAAATATTTTCAAAATGTATTAATCTTATCCCTTCCCAAAATAGACTAAAACCCTAAATCTACTTGTGAAATAGCCTCTGAGGCCAAATAGAGTAAGTTAAGTCTATTTACTCTTCTACAAAAGGCCGTGGACCTAGAGTCAGGAAGACCTGAGTTCAAATCCAAATTCCTTCCTTCCTTCCTTTCTTCCTTCCTTCCTTCCTTCCTTCCTTCCTTCCTTCCTTCCTTCCTTCCTTCCTTCCTTCCTTCCTTCTTTCTTTCTTTCTACAGACACTTGGAACTCCTTAGAATGTAGTTTCAGCAGCCCTGATGAGCGTCAGAAGATGAAACTTCTCATTCCCCAACTATGCTGGAGAAATAAAGCATTCCTGGAATTCTACTAGAATAAATAGAAGAGAAATGAAAATCTGAGTACAGACGATAATATTACATGAATCACAAAAGTGGTCAGCTGGCTACTGTTCTCTTCAAATCCATTTTACAAATCCCAGTGCAAGAATATTTCTATGACTCTTTCCAAAAAAAGAAAAAAAGAAAAAAAGCATTTGCTATGAGTTACCCACACCCTTTTTTTTTTCCTTTTTACTTACGCAGCAGAAGAGTAGCACAGGTGTGGTAGAAAAAAATACATGAGAAAGTCAGGTTCTGTGTGACCTTAGGCAAGACACAGCCTCTCTGGGTCTCAGTTGCCTTCTCTTCACAATAAGGAGGTTGAACTTTTTTGTTGTTGAGTCATTTTTCAGTCTACTCTTCACGACCCCATCTGAGGTTTTCTTGGCAAAGGTACTGGAGTGGTTTTGCCATTTCCTTCTCCAGCTTATTTTACAGATGAAGAAACTGAGGCAAACAGGGTGACTTGCCCAGGGTCCCATAGTGTCTGAAGCTGGATTTGAACTCATGAAGATGAATCTCCCTGATTTCAAGCCCAGTGCTCTCTCCACTGAACCACCTAGCTGACCAGGGTTGAACTGATGGTCACGAAAGTCCCTTTCCATTCCCAACATTCTGTGATCTAGGATCACTTGCCTTGGGTATGCATCTTTACTGAAATAAGCCCTGCCCACTAAATCAGCCAGATCAAGAGTGTTTTAGCCCATTAGATATGGAGCAAAGAGAAGAAGAGGGACAAAATTACAAGAGTCAGCTCTGGCGCCTATTAGGGAGAACAACTTCCCTGCTGCTTTAGCCAGCTGGACAACTGAATTATGGTACCACACATCCATCCAGGGCTGAAGAGAGTATCAGGTAGAAGAAATAGAATGAATCAGGTAAACTCTGCCTCTCCTTCCCATTACTCTATGAAGAGCTTCCCTGGCTATGAATAGTCTTGACTGCTGACATCGTCATTAGGGAAAAGGAAGAAAGATTAGGGGATAGGTAAGATGGGAGAAGAAGAGCATCAGTCCAAGTTTTTTGGAGCTGCCTGGGAAATAAAGAAGATTGTCAGGAAATCCCATGGGTCTCTGAGAAGTCTGTTTAGATTGGCCTCCAGGGACCACATTGCACCGTGGAAGGGCAGAAGTGATTCCTGATGGGCTCACCGGTAAGGTATCATTTACAATACATTCAGCAACCTCCGATGTCCAGTAGATAGATGAGACACAGATTACAACTTGCCCAGGCCACTCCAGAACCCACTGCTTTCGAGGAACCTATAAAAAGTCAAAGATCACATAGGTTTAGAGCTGGAGGGGAGATTTCTTTTTTTTTTTTTTTGGTGAGGCAATTGGGGATAAGTGACTTGCCCAGAGTCACGCAGCTAGTAAGTGTCAAGTGTTTGGTCTGAGGCTGGATTTGAACTCAGGTCCTCCTGACTTCAGGGCTAGCTCTATCCACTGCATCACATAGGTGCCCTGGAAGGGAGATCTTAAAGGCCACTGAATCCAGCCTCTCATTTTACAGATGAGGGAAATGAAGCTAAAAGAGTTGATGTCTTCCCACGGTCACACAAAACCCAAGTGTCAGACAGAGGATTTGAACTCAGGTCTTTCTGATTCCAAATCCAGCTCTCTATCATTCTACCACCTAGCTGCCTCCCCTTCCAAAAAATAAACAACAACAAACAAGCAAAAGAACCAAACATGATGGGATGCCACAGAGTAAGTGGAAATACTTTAATTATATGTACTGTAAAGGTCACTAGGACCTCTTCCATCTTTATGAAGAGGAGAGTTAATCTTTTCTCCTTTCACACAACACAAGTCACCCTGGCCTTATTCCTAGGAAAAATATGAGGTCCCTGAAAGAGTATAACCCTTCTGAAGAATGTACAGAAGTGAAAAAAAAATCTTCCCACTCAGAGAGAGGTCTGAAATTCTACCACTAGTGTGGTATTTATTTGGGTTATACATTGTGCCCTCTAGTTTCCTTTTTTACAAAGCAAATACCCTGATGGGGTGACCCATCATATCTTCAATATTTTTGGGTGGGTGGAGTTTCTCAGATGCTTAGCTGATGGCAGGAGAGCACTCCTTTAAGATTATTACTTAACATTCTATTTTGATCTAGGACAATATAAAAATAAGAAAAGGGAGCTCCAAAAGAAACTTTGTGTTCATTCCAACCCCCAGCTGGCACTTAGATGATCTGAGAGACATAACAATCCTAATGATTGTTATTGAGAGAGGTCCTATCGGTTCTGTCTTCCTTAATATTTATTTATACTGGTAAAGATTTGACTGTCAACTTCATTGGTTCACCTTCCCATGACCTCCTGTTTTCATGGGAAAGGAAAGCAAGGCAGAGAAAGGTTAGATGACCTGTCCTATGTCACAAAACAAAACAGGAGAAAATGGAATTAATACCAATTCCCTTCTCTGAGCCCTCTCCAACTCTCAGTGATGTGAGATGGAAAGAGCACCATGTCTGGAGTTAAGAGAATGTGGGTTTGAGTTCTGGCTCTGCCACCCAATACTGGGTGACTTGGGGTCAGTCACTTAACTTCTTAATTAGACTTCCTTTTCCTGGACTGAAAAAATGAGTAGGCTGGATTAGATGACCTTTGAAGTTCCTTCCATTTCTGAATCTAAAGATCCACCAAAAGCTTAACTCCACCAGCCTTGATGCAGGCCATGGACTGGACTCTACCTTGGCATAAGCATCAATCCCTTTTTTCAGCACATGTCGGATACTGGCGAGCATTGTCTGTTCCACCTGAAGAAGCCATTTCTCGACCATGCCCTGGAAGGGAAGAAACACAAACAGAAATGGGCAGTGAGCACAGCGGAATCAGCAGAGACTACAGGAAAGAACCTGGAAATGAACTCAACTTCAGAACATCAGATATAAAGCCCAAACCAGCTCTTCCCTTCCTCAAAACCAAATCTGCTTGTTATTGGGTCTGTTTACATTTTCAAAGTCCTTGTTTTCCTCCTTTCTGAAGTCTGTAATCCTAAAGTGAAAATATAAGACTGACCTAGCAAACATATTCATTTTTGTGACAGGTAGATGCTCTTAGACTTAGATCAATTTTTAGGGGCAGCTAGGTGGCACGGTGGATAGAGCACCAGTCCTAGAGTTCCTAAGTTCAAATCTAGCCTCAGACACTTACTGGTTGTGTGACTCTGGATAAGTCACTTAACCCTGTTTGCAGATAAGGTTTTTTTTTATCTGCACAGTGAGCTGGAGAAGGAAATGGCAAACTCCAGTATCTTTGCCAAGAAAATCCCAAATGGGATTCAGACAAAACTGAAACTACTAAACAATACATTGCCTTTCTGTTAACTCCAGGATAGATGAAGCCTAAATTCCAGAGGTGCATCTGCCCCTGTGACTAGAGGTAGTCAGGTAGTGGAGGGAATAGAGTGATGGACTAGAGTGAGGAAAACCTGAGTTTGCCCCTTCCCTCAAATATGTTTTAGCTTCGTGACCCCTAGGCAAGTTCACTTGTGTCTTTCACCTTCAGTTTCCTCAGCTGTAAAAATGGAGTTAATAACTGTTGAAACTGACTCACAGGGTTGTTGGGACCAAAATGAAGTACTAATTATTATTATTATTACTAGCCAAGTACATATGGAAAATAACCAGCAGAAAAAAATCTGCCCTGTGATAGTGTGTGTCCAAAAGGAGGGGTCTCATTTCACTGGATTGCCTCCTCTGAGTACACACTTAACAGAGAAAAGGAAGAGGAAACTGAACTAACCAGTAGGTTATGCCTCTAGTGGTGGGGAAATGAAATGTACTGTCTTGATTCCAAGGGCGTGGTTGTTCTTCACAGAATTTATCTATCAGTTCATCTTCTGTAACCATGAGGTATAGAAGCTGCAATTATTTTCATGGTGACCTTACAACTCCTTTAGGCAGCTGGTAGATGAAGGGATAGAGTAAGAGATATGGAGACAGAAAGCCCTGAGTTTAAATTCTGCCTCAGACACTTAATAGTGTGTGACCCTGGATAAGTCACTTAAGCTCTTGAAGCCTCAGTTTCCTAATCTGTAAAATGGGATAATAATAGCACTTACCTCTTGGGGTTATTGTGAAGATTAAATGATGTGACAGATACAAAGCATTCTGCACTATACAAATGTGTTTTTTAAAAAATTATTATTATTAGCAGTAATAGTACTTATCATTAGTACAACAAAACATGATGATGGAATGTCCCATGAAATAATGTTTCTTATTGTCTTTGAGTATATCATAAAACCAATTCCAATGCCCACCCCCTCTTTTTTTTTTTTTTTGCTTTTCTTAGATGTACCTGTGAACCCTCCCTTCCATTCAGCTGCAACTTCCTTCTTCCCTCTGGTGCCATTTGTCACAAGAACATCAAGATTGCTATAATTCATTTCTCTTCCAGAAAGAAGTCCAGTTGTTAGTCATTGGACAAGGGTCTCACATTTAAAGTACAAATTGTCAGATTAAGGTTTGTTGATATTGATATTGTTGTGATTCTTAATACTCTCTGCTCCATTTCATAATATTCTGCCACCATTGCTGCTGAAATGGAAGGGGCCATATAAGACTGAAGGCAAATCTTTATTTTTCCCCGTGTCATGGATTGTCATGGCCAAAATAATTGATCATGTGGCCAGCGTCTTCATAGATAACTAGCTTGATACCTCAGGTAATAGACTTAGTCTGTTTCTGGAGCCATACTCAAAGCCTTTCCATCCTGGTAGAACATTCTAGAGCTTACATTCTACTGGCATAGACTTCAAGAGCCTCTATGCCATGATGAGACATTAGGGCAGGATTTTGTGGAGTTGAGAAATATGAGGAGAAATATATGAAGTGGCATGATTCAGGAGGAAGGAGTGAGACTTGGAGATTACACAGGAACTTTATGCCTCTATATCATGAATACTATAACAAAGAAAAGGATTTGTAGGTACTAGAAGTGGTATACATGTTAAAGAATGAAGTAGATTCCATTTTAACAGGCAGGAAAACACTTGTTATTAATATGGGCATTATTCCTGAATTAGCCATCTGGATACAGTCAGACCATTGGGGAGCTAAGATCAGAATTAGTAAAAAGCAAGAAAAAAGAAAAATACTGAGAAAAAGATATGGTGTGCAATTAAAACAACTTAATCCTTAATGATTTAAATAAGCAACTAAAAATGTAAAAGTGGGAAGGAGACAATGGAAATGCCATTGACACCAAATAAAATGTTTCCCCCTAGAAGTTTAAGTGATATAAATTAATTACCACAATAAAGAGACCAAAAGAACTCAGAAAACTCCTTAGTCAGCAAACAATCGATTAACTTGCCAGATATAGAGAGGTGGCTGCCAAAGGCAACAGTGGGTTAGAATATAAAGTTATCTGTAAAATCTTATTTTTTAAAAAAAGTATGGTCGATGGTTATCAATAGTTTTGCAATGTAAAGCAGAGAGAAGCAGTAGAGGGCAAAATGAGCTTAAAGAAAGTATAGTAAGACATCCCAACTATACAAAGTCATCTCAAGGGCATTTAAGGATGAAAATGGAAGGAGGATCACAAACAGAAGAAAAATGGAAAAAAGTTGCAAAACTCATTATGACAAAATATGTTATAATGTTTTCTCCATCAAGGGCAATGGAACCATCATACTTGGATCTTAACTGCACTGTTCTGCTTATAGAGGAGGAAAAATGACTCAAAGAGAATAAAGATGAGAAAAGCAGCAGGATTGAATCAAGTGGATATAGAAGAGACTTGCATTGGAGGCAACACAGTTGTGAGGGCACTGAGGGACAATATATGAGGGGAAGATAAAAGGTGTAGAAAAAATGCTGGGCTCTATTGATACCAAAAAAGGTGACAGAGAAAACATCTGTGACCACTGACCTACATCCCTACTCTGTCTCTGCAAAATCTTTGAGAGTCATCCCATAAAGTGTCTGAAGTAGGGAAAAGATAGAAAAGGTATATTAAAAAAAAAGGTTAGACTCTATTAGTATTGAAAAAGATGACCAAGAAAATATCAGTAACTACTGACAGTTACTGAGATTCCCATTTATATAAAACCTTTATAAGAATCATCTGTACATGAATCAAAGGCATATTTGATCAGGTTATTAGTAGGGAAGAAGAAAATTTTCGTAAGTGATATTCAACAGTGGACCACATCTTTACTATTTCACAACAAACTGAAAGATTATAGAGAATATAAGATCCTTTTGGGCTTCTTGTTGGTTAATTATGAAAAAAAAATTGATAAGACAAATGCCACCTTCCAAATTACCTGGAGTTATACGATTTAATTGCATGGAATGACACTGTGCCATTTAAGAAAGTAAGTTAAATACATGAAGTAGTAAGAATGTGAAAATCCTCTAATTCTATTTAAGACAAGTTGATTTGTGCAATGGAAAAAGGAATGAGAGGAAACAAAGGCAAAACCCCTTTCCTACCACTTCCTTCTTAGAGAAGAAAACTGGTGGTTTTTATTTTCTGTTTTTAGTGGGTCATTATTTTTGCCATCTGACTGATGCAATCTGAATACAAAAATACACAAACAATTGTCCCCAGTACCTGGCTTCTGCCAGGTCTGCTTTCTTGCCTAGTCTAGTGCAAACTAGAGATAGGAAAAGAGAAAACTGCCTGAGATGCTGTTGTCCTATTGCAGAACCAAAACTTTGAACTTCAGCAATCTAGAATCAGCCTAGAATTTGAGTGTCTCCTCCTCTCCCTCACCCCCAACTTCTCAGTTTCAGTGTAATAGGCTGTAGAGGAGGGAGAGATTGGGGCAGGGAGGTTCCAGGAACTGAGATGATAGGATTAGTCACTTGGTCTCTAATCACAAAGAGCTGAAATTCCTCCCCAAATTTGGGATCTGGCCTAGGAGTTTGGGAAAAAAAAACATTTTTTTATAACAGCCTTATACTTAAGGACCCAGACTTTCCCAGTTCTTTCGTGAGTCTGTCCCACTTCCAACCTATATTACAGACAAAAAATAAAATAAAAATCCTTGGTGACTGACATTTTCTCCTGTTGTCTCCATGCCTGGAATGCTTTCTCTCCTCATCTCTGCCTCCTGGCTTCCCTAGCTTCCTTCAAGTGCCAGCTAAAATCCTATCTTCGAGCAGAACCAGGAGAACACTGTACACAGTAACAGCCACATTGTGTGATGACTAACTTTCATGGACTTATCTCTTCTCAGCAATGCAAGGATCTAAGACAACTCTAAAAGACTCAAGATGGAAAATGCTGTCCACATCCAGAAAAAGGACTATGGAGTCTGAATGCAGATTGAAGAATATTATTTGTTCTCTTTCTTTTTTTTTTTTGTTTCTTCTTTCTTGTGGTTTCTCCCTTTGGTTCTTATTCTTCTTTACAACATGACTATTGTGAAAATAGGTTTAATATGAATTTATATGTTGAGCCTATGTCACTTTACCTGGGGTGGGGGAAGGGGAGAGATGGGGAGAAAAGTTGGAGCTCAGTTTCATGGAAGTGAATGTTCAAAACTAAAAATGAATAAATAAACTTATTATTAAAAACAAAAATCAATAAAAATAAAAATGAAGGGAAAAAATAAAAATGAAAAAAAAATCCTATCTTCTAGAGGAAGCCTTTCACAACTTCTCTTAATTCTAGTGCCTTCCCTCTATTAATTATTTCATATTTATTCTGTATATGGTTTATTGTTTATATTTGCTTGTTGTCTCCCCCATTAGATAGTAACCTCCTTAAGGGCAGGGACTGTCTTTTACCTCTTTTTATATCCCCAGGGCTTAGCAAAGTGTTTGGCTTATAGTACATATAACACAAATGTACAAATAGTACATTTATATAATACACAAATATAACATGAATAGTACAAAACCACAAATTTTTTTGACTGGCTCCTTCTCAATTACTACTGACTCCTCACATGTGGCTCTTGACACATGTTTAGAAGCTCTTTTCCTTCCTCCTATAGTCCGATAAAGGGAGAAGGGGAAAATGTTACCTTGGCTTGAACTGGGTAGATTTTGTCAATGAAAGGAACTATTTCCTTCTCTGAGCTGATCATGCCCAAAATTTCCAGTTCTTCATTAAACTCAAGTCTTGCAATTCCCTCAAAGCACTTCTTTAAATGTGGCTGGACTCGGAGGGGATCCTTTGTTTCTGACAAGATCTCTAGCAGCTCATCATTTGATAGGAAAAAGAATCTGTTACCAAAGAGAAAGATGGAAAATGAAATTTCCCTTCAGGGCCAGGAGTTCCACAGAAGTTCTACTCCTCAAACAGAGGGTGTTATCTTGGGTATACAGTGGCAACCTAAGTTTCCTCACTCTTTCCCTCTGCCAATTTTAGATGTGAATCAAATGTAGACATGGCATTGGCCAAAATGGTACCCATGAGTAATGGGGTTGGGGTGCTTGTTGTGGATTGAGAAATGACTGTAAGGAAGGTGAAAGAGAAAGGACTTTCTCTTCCAGGATATATCCCAGCAAGTTTATGGATATTCTAATAACAATGCTGAGAAACAATATGTTTAAATGCTCATTTGAACAGAGATGAGCTTACCATCTTGTAAAATGGCCAACAAGGCTGCCTGATTTGTCTTTTAAGTTCTGCGAGAGCCTATAACGTAGCCTTAAAGCTGCTCATGGCAGAGTTGCCCAATGGCCACAGTGATCATGGAGGGACCAAATTTTCCCATCTCCATGTAAAGATGAGAAAAGTTACCCTCTATAGGTTTATACCCCCCAACTTCTAAATCATGTATTGAATCATCAGGTGTAATGTAATTACAGTAATAATTAGAGAAGAATAGTGGATAGAGAGCTAGCTTCAGAGTCAGTAAGACCTGAGTTCAAGTTCTCACCTGAGATATATGCTTGGGGTATGATCCTGGGAAAGTCATTTAACTTCTCAGTGTCCCAAGCAAGTCCCTAAGACCCTAAGTTTCAGAGTGTATGGCAACATACTCAACAAGTATGTGTTCTATAAACCGTAAGGGGGGACTGAGAAAATGAGTATGAATGTTGCAGTATAAACCCTCCTGTCTCCTGGAAACGATGATTCAAAGGTAGTGACCTCTTTACTAATAGAGAATTGGAGCATGGGCTTCATATAGGCTGGACAGCATGGTGTACCTGGGGAAAAACAATCTTTTCTTCTCCAAATAATCATTCAGTCCCTTCTGGATGTCCTCCAACAGAAGGTTGGCTTCTCTGAGTTTATCCAACATCTGTGGCTGTTCTGTTGCTACAAGCACTCTGGCATCTTTCACCTAGAGAGAAGGGCCCAAAAAAGTAAGACTGAAAATCAAAGAAATACCATTTCCCATACCAACCCAAAGTTACCTAACTGTTCAGTATCTTTAGTTTCCAAAGCTGGCCAGGAAGTCTCAGTATATGGGTCCAAATGGCCTATTACCTGGGGGAATTTATTCCAACTGTTGAACAGAGGTCTTCCAATCCAGAATAGAACTTCCCAGATAATTTATCTTGCAGCAAACTGAGCAGGTAAACTCCCTCAGGGCTAATACCATACATGTACATACCCAATTTAAGAAAGTCTAATTTTTAAGAACGTCTATACTTGATAAAACATTGATTGGGGTGGGGGGAGGGGAGGGGGAGAGTTTTTCACATTACAAAATGATTTACCACAAATTTTTGCCCAAGTTTTTCTTATCCAAACTTCTGTATTACGTTTATAAAACTGGATTTACAGAAATTCAGTCAACCTACAATGTTCCAGGAACAAATTGCTATTAACAAACCTGATGAGAGGCAAGGGCTTACCGCTTGGATCATAATGCCCTTCCAATAACCATCGACAATTCCAAATTTCCTTCCCTCTTCTGGCATTTGTGCTACAATGTCCTCAGAACTGAAGATAGGCTCCAGGTACAACCACGTGGCCTGGCACTTCAACCAGGCATCTAAAATCTCCTGCATTTGGACCAACTTCTCTTCCCATTTCTGTGAATGCAACAATAGCCCTTCTGAGCTATGGACCCAGAAGCAGACCAAAACAAGTTTCCAGGAAATTACCATGCCCAGATATGATGCTATACCAGGAAACATACTTTAAAAAAAACCAAAAAACATATTTTTCTTTTGGTGCATTTAAAGCTGTTTCCCCATCCCCTATGTTGCCTCTCTGCATAAGCATCCAGAAGCCCAAATTCCCAATCTTCATAGGAATTTCATGAAGCTGGAAGGGACCTCAGAGATTATCTGATCCAACCCTTTCATTTTATGGATGATAATTAACTACTAACATTTCTAGCACTTGGAGGTTTGTAAAGTACTTTCCTTACAACCACAGGCAAACTTACAAGTATTATTATCTACATTTCATAGATAGAGAAATTGAGTTTGAGAGATTCAATGACTTCCCTAAAGTTACATAACTAGCAAATGAAAGAGCCAGGATTTGAATGCAAGTGTCTCCTAACTTCAAATCCTTCACTCAATACATTATAGTACCTCTCAGAAGAGGGAATTGAAGTAACTCACTCAGAAGCGATTCACCCAAGACCACACAGGTATTAAACGACAGAATCGAGATCTGAAGCCAGATTGACTTCTTCTTTTCCTGACTTCGGAAGTTCAAACTCATTAGAATTTTAATTTGCCTCAAATTACTTATTATAATACTCCATCAAGTATACAAGGCTTAGATTTTATGCTAGACTTTTTAAGGGGTCTTTGCCCTTTCCCCTTCTGAATTTTTAAGAATATATTTTAATGGAATTGATTATTTTAGAAGAGATCATGGAGGTCGTGCAAGTTTGATGAACTGTCCATGAATGTGCTGGTACTGCTAACACGAACTTGTGAGAGAAAGCATGGCACAAGTAGACAGAAGACAAGTCTTATGGTTGGGGAGACCTGGGTTCACGTCCTTCTTCTGAAACACACACACTGTATGAGTCTATGCAGGTCACAACTTCTTAGTGACCCCATGAAAACTCCTGTAAGGCTATAAGTTACAGAAGTGTTACAGAGATTTAGCTCCATACCAGAAGTCCCCTAGACAGATAGACTTGGTTTGAACCAACAGTAATGACAATTATTCATAATCTTTTAGCTAACATTTATATAGCACTTATTATGTGCCATTTGTTATTTTTGAGTCATTTCAGTCATATCCAATTCTTTGTGACCCCATTTGGAGTTTTCTTGGCAAAATCACTGGAGTGGTTTGCCATTTCCTTCTCCAGCTCATTTTATAGATGAAAAAAGTGAGGCAAGCCGGGTTCAGTGACTTGCCCAGGGTCATATGACTAGTAAGTGTCTGAGGCCAGATTTGAACTCAGGAAAGATGAGTCTTTCTGGTTTCAGACCTGGCACTCTATCCACGGTGCCACCTAACTGCCCCTACTATGTGCTAAGCACTTTACAAATATTATCTCATTTGGTTCTCACAACAAACCTGGGCATTAGGTACTATTATTATCATCCCCATTTTACATTGAGGAAACAGAGGCAAACAGAGATTAAGTGACTTGCCCAGGGTTATACAGCTAGTAAGTATCTGAGGCCAGATTTAAACTCGGGTCTGCCTGACAGCAGGCCTGGTACTCTATCCACTGTGCCACCTAACTGCCTCAGTTAACACTTTTCGGTTTACAAAATGCCATGAGGTATGTAGTACAAATGTTATCACTATTTTATAAAAGAGGAAAATAAGTGATATACCCTGGCAAATCACAGAGCCAGGAATTGAATATAGCTTTTTTAGGCCCCTGAGATCATAGGATCACAGATTTAGAGCTGGAAGGAATATTAAAGTCATCTATCTAACCCTCTTATTTTATCAGTAAGGAAACTGAGACCCAGAAATATTAAGTGACTTGTTCAAGGTAAGGAATGGTAAAGCTTGGATTGAAACTCAGGTCCCCTAACTCTGAATCCAGCAATCTTTCCACAACATTCTTCTTTCCATTCCATCAATAGGACTACTATGGTGTAAGATTTATAGTCTGGTCCCCAGCTCTGCTGGAGCATATAAAATTAACTGATATTTACCCAGTATTCCCTATGGAAACAAATTGCATTGATGAAAATATCTGTGTAGATGTGGCTTTAATGCTATTTCTGGTATTACTATTTTTGTGGGAACATAAACATACAAAAAAAAAATCTAACAGAACAGAAAAAACAAGTCTGTCCTAAACAGTGAAATTTCCTTATTAAAAAAAAAAACAATCAAGGGTCAATACTGTTTCTTTCCAACTCATTGGTCATTG